AAAAAAATGGCGCTTCTCTAGCTGAAGACAATGGGAGTCTACATTTTAGGGGACCAAAGTGCCTCCAGAGAACCATTAGGTCATTCAATATAATATTTAAAATATGCTGACCTACCACTGGAGTAGGTCAGCATATGCCAAACTCACTCTTGAATTTTGTGGATCAGAAAAAGTTCAAAAAAGATTTTGAAGGACTGAGATGGGTTTTTACTTTGTCAAGTAATAATGACTTTTTAAAAATTATCATTATTACATCATAAATGAAAGGACATTTTAGCACCGAAAAAGTAGAAAGAACAAAATCTGAAAATGAGTAAATTCAGCTTTGCTTTATGAAACTACTGATGGATCAGAGAAAAAGGTCATTTAAAGACCAGGAGATTACAAAATTGGTCCAGAGCATCTCCAAGGTTTATTCAAGTTCTAAAATTATACGTTTATGTCTTTCGACCTCCCATCCTGAGAGAACTAAAATAGAAACTACTTTCTGTTAGTACTGAGACCATCTAAGGTATTCAAGAAACTGTTTCCTAAGACCACTATTTGTTAAGTAAATAAAGTAGCCCAGGGTCATTGAAATAAAAAAGCAGTAAAAATCAGAAAGAAAAACAAATGAAAATTTACAATGTCTATAAAACTTCAACCTTGAAATGTGTAACATCATTGTGATTATTTTAATATAATTTTCCCCACACCTACAAAATAAGAACTACAAGCATAATCTATCACACATTCAAAGCAACTTTTAACATTCCAGTATTTAAGTGCCTATGAGCTGTTTCCTACTTTGTTTCTTCATAGTCAGTGTTCAGTTTCATCAACCTCATACTTTTGTTTAATAAATCCTACTTTCTTTTCAAAAGCAGCACAGTAGTGAGATATTTCTAAGGATCTATTTCTTAAAGCTTCAGCACTGTTCCATTTCTTTACATTTCTGCAAAATTCTTCTCGCCACGAGAGATTAGTACAAGCACTTGTGACCACCAAAGCAACAGGAAATCTAGCTCGATAATGAGGTGAAAACATATTTCCAGGATTATGTAACCTCCCTGAACCCAAGAAAACAATGTGATCTATTGATCATTGCTACAACTACTCTTTCAGATCTCAGTTTAAAATCTCTAAGTTACAAGAATATATAACTTGTTAGATAAATGAAAAGCAATTTTATTGTGCAGTTGAAATATTTCTCTGCTAAAAATAGTTTTCATACCCCCAAAGATCTTTATCTCCAAAGCCACCAAATATTGGTTACTCAGAAAGCCTTCATAAGAGTTTCAGCTTCATGTTTCTCTTCTTTTCCTGACACTGCACATAAAATATTAGAAATATCTTTTAACAAAAAGTTATATCAGATTTCTGAGAGGACTATTCCAAGTTTATTTTACCCTATGCACACTTTAAGACAATTTTTCTTAGAAATACTTTCAATATGCCAGGGAAGAGATATCCAATAATCATCACTTCTAACATTGAAAACCCACATCATTAAGCCTTCTCTTTTCTAGGAAATAAAAATAATTCCATTAACTTTCATTGAAACATTTTTCCCCAAATTTTTAAAAAATATTCTGTGTCCTCTATATTCTTCCTTGTATGATGACATCATGTTTGCTGCATGAAGCACAAAACAAGGTAGAAAGACAGCTATGCTAATCCTTCCTTTCTCACAGTTTGTTTCTATGCACTGATTCCTTAAAATAGCTACAAACAAATAAGACGTCCCGGTGTGCTAAGTCTGCAAATACCACTTTGTTTTACCATTAAGATTTCTTTTGGATATACTGTAAGTTCAGGGATCAAAGGAATGCTCTAGTTTGAATCTGACCAAAGTGCCCCAGAATGCAACATCCTCAAATCACACAATGATTATGTTTAAAAAACGAGATTAAAAAGAAAACAAAGTTTAGTGTAAAACTAAGTCACATCTGTTATTTAAAGCACACACACTTTGTAGGGAAATCTGAGAATTCACATCATCTATTTCTTCTTGGATATCACAGAACTTTGGTTCATCACCCCTTTATCAAGCCTCTCCAAATAATATCTTCTGGTTCTGTTTCTAAGGGGCATCTGAAAAGCCATGAGAGCCTTTATCCCCTGTCACTTTCATTTGAAAAGAAACTGGATGCAAAAAGGTTGGTTCAAGCCAATTC